TGATGCATAACCTTTCTGGATTGTTTCATTTAACAGAATGATTTCCTGTATTTCAGAGAACGTTTATGGATAGATTATCTCTGAAAACAATCATGTGGTCATTTGCTCTAATATACTGGATAAGTATTGCCATCCATAAAAGGAATACTGCTTCTAAAGGGGTTAAAATCATTTACTTTGGGGCTGGAGAAATGGCTCAGCTGTTAAGAGCACTGGCTACTCTTGCACAACCATCTATAATGGGATCTGATGCTTTCTTCTGGCATGCGGCATACATGCAGTACTCATATACACAAAATAAATAAAGTCTGTTAAAAAAGCATTTACTTGTTTGAGGGTTTTGCTGGGGTTTTGTTGTTACTGTTTGGTTGGTTGGTTTTAATTTTATGAAGGGGTTTTATTTGTTTGTTTGTTTGTTTTTTGGTCTTACTATATAGCCTGACTGGCCTGGAACTCATTATTTAGCATAGGTTTGCCTCAAATGTTCCTCTTGTCTCAGCCTTCCTAGTTAGTGTTGTGATTATAGTTATACATCGCCACAACCAGGTTATCTGCTTTTCTTTTGTAGTGTTGGGGACCAAATTCAGGGTCCCTTTGCTACTGAGCTGCAACTCTAGCCAGCATAGATACCTATCATTAGAGATGGGATAGCATTTTCACTTCCATTCAGTCCATACCATTTTATTAGTTTATTTGAACCATTCTCCATGGTTCATAATTTGGTTTGTTGATAGTTTCTAACTTTTTGGGAAATTTGTCTTTTCTGTCTGGTTGGTTTTATTGTCATCCTGACATAAGCTAGAGCAGTCTGGGGAACCTCAGTTGAGAAAATACCTTGCCTGTAGGCAAGTCTGAGGTGGCATCTTCTTGATTAATGATTGACATGAGAGGTCCCAGCCCATTGTGGATAGTGCTACCTCTGGGTCGAGGGGTGTATAAGAAAGCAAATTGAGCAAGCCCTGGGAGTAAGCCAGTAAGCAACATTCCTCTGCTTTAGCTCCTGCTTCCAGGATCCTGCCCAGACTTCCCTCAGTGATGGAGCATGGCCTGAGTTGTAAGCAGGAATAAACACTTTTCCTTCCCAAGTTGCTTTTGGTCTTGCTGTTTTATCACAGCAAGAGAACCCCTAGTTAATACATCTTCTCTCTGTGTTTTCCTGGAATAGTCATTTGACATTGTGCCAAGTTAGTTTTTATTACATTCTTGCTTTCTTATCTGTGAATTGCTGTAAAAAAAGATTGTTTTCAGCCGGGCAGTGGTGGTGGACACCTTTAATCCCAGCACTCAGGAGGCAGAGGCAGGTGGATCTCTGTGCGAGGCCAGCTTGGTCTACAGATCGAGTTCCAGGACAGGCTCCAAAGCTACACAGAGAAACCTTGTCTCAAACACACACACACACACACACACACACACACACACACACACACACTGTTTTCACTAATGCTTGATTCAAGTTTCAGGTAGGAGGACCAGGTAGGCCACAGGCCATTGAAGTGTGTTTGTTGTCTTGAACTAAACCCCTGATAACAGTTTCATTTATAAAAGGCTTACATTTAATTTCACTTGGTTTTTTTTTTTTTTTTTTGAGACAAATATTTGCTCTTGCTATAGCCATGGTTTTCCTAGAACTGACTATGTAGATGAGGCTGGCCTTGAACCTATAATGATCCTTCTGCCTCTTGAGTGGTGGTATTGCAGGTGTGAGCTTCCACGCTCAGCTTTCTTTTGCATTCTTTAAGCAACACTAAGAAGTGTACACAGAAATGTAACCCACATGGTACCTCTATGTGTTCATAGCTCAGTTACAAAAATAACTGAAACATTAATAATCTGCCTGGGCTCCATAGTACTCGTTCCTTGGGTGTTTGCTGAATCCTCTGTTGTACACTGTTCTTACAGGTTTATGGTTGAGGTTGGAACTGGGTGCTGGGTGTCACCACTTCTGTGACAGCAGAGGACAGAAAGTTCTGTGAATAGAAGGAAGGAGCAATATCCTCAAGGACTTATACCAGAATGGACAAAAGGAAGCATACTGAACAGAATTCTTAGGATGACACTTGAGTCAGGCTTGTCTTGTTCAAGGCTGGGTCTCCTGCTAAATTATGTGTAAAAGAGAAAAGAAAATATGGTGACAAGGTTTGATTCTGCTCTGTTAAGGCAAATGCTCTCTTTAAAGACTCAGGTTAATTCAGCCAGCCCATTGTTGGATTTAATTTGTATGTCTGTGGGAACCAGAGAGCAGTAGATGGACATTGAGAAGGAGAAAGGAGAATGAGGTGTGATATGTCGTCTCATAAAAGCTTATTTCGTAACAGAAATAATCTAGACCATTGTTGTATTGTCTTTTACGTAGTGTGCGTGGGTCTGGCTTCCTGCCACCCTGTCCTGGTGACTGGAGTACATTCCGGCAGTGGTGCTTCCTCATCTGCGAGCAAAGAGAACTCCCTGAAGACCTCAAGTTCCTCAGTTGTCTTTTTTTATTGTCCTTCTGAGGACTCTCTTTGACTGTTTCTTTGGGCTGTACTTAGCTTAGCTACCTACTTCTCCCACCTCTTCCTAGTTTCAGCAGCAGATCTGGCTGGTTTAAGTTTCTAAGTGAGTCAAGTTCCTCCAAAAGTCTGAGAACTCTTCAACTAAGGGGTTCTGACCACAGGCGTCCTCTGTTGGTCTTTGTCCAATCAGGAAAGAAAATGCATGCTTTTCAAAAACTTTAATGTCTAAGAAGAGTAACTTCTTCACTTTTATTTTATGTATATCTGTGCAAATGGATACCCTGTGAGTGCAGTGCCCACAGAAGCAAGAAGGGCATTGGATCCCCTGGATCTGAAGCTTGATACAGGTGTTGGAGACCAAACTCTGGTCCTCTACTCATCTAGAAGGGAGGGATCATGTCAGGTTAGCTACCTTGCATAGAAAACAACTGTTTCTCACACCATCTCTCTAAACCAGCTGTTGTTTTTTTTTTTAAATTCTATGTGTCTTTTACATCATTTTGATCTGATCTCATTCATTTCCCCATCCCTTCCCATCCTCCCTCTGCACCTAAACCCCTCCAAAAAAAATTTAAGAGAAAAAGGGAAAATTACAATTAAAAGAAGGGAAAAAACTAAAAATCTCTTCATGGCAGCTGCAGTGTGACACAGTGAGTCATGCAGTAGACCCTTTGTCCATGTACCTTTACTTGCAAGTGTTCATTTTGAAGAGTCATTGCTCTGGTTCAAGGTCTCTGGTTTCTACTACACTATCAATGCTGGGCCCTCATTAGGACTCTTCCTGGATATCCTGTTGTTGCCCTGTGTTGTGGAGATCCTGTAGCTTTGGGTCTGCCAGTCAGGTCCCTTCACATGCTACAGCAGATCATAGATGGGGTGGATGTTTGGGTGGACCAAGTCATAACCCTGGTTCTGGGCCTGGGCAGCTATAGGGTTGGTCAGCCAGCCAGTTCTCCCCTGTCCTCACTGCCAAGATGAGCTCTCCATTGCTCGGCTAAATCACCTCCTGCAGCAATGAGTGAGGGATAGGGCTGGTTCTCCTGCTTTCATGCCCTCAGGGTTGGCTCTCCCACACCTGTACCATTAGGGCCAGCTCTTGTGTTGCCCAGGTGAGGTATAGGTGCAACTCTCCAGAGTACTGCAGCTGGTGAAGGGTAGGGACAACCCTCTCTCTTATGAACCCAGCCAGGGCCAGCTCCTCCACATGTCTCAGGCATTGATGGGCCAGAGGTGGGGCAGGACGGGGACATCTCTCCTCCCCTCGTGCTACCTAACACATGTTAGATGAGTAATGAGGACAGCTCTTTTTTGCTCATAACATCCAGACTGAGTCACCCTCACTCTGACCACCGGGCAGCTATGCTGTGCTACCTAGGTGAGGGGCAAGGCCTGTTTCCTGAATGCTACAGCTGATAAGGGGGAGGGTCAGCTCTCTTGTCCAGACCAGCTCTTAATAGACATTGGTGTAGCAATAGAATAGAGTGAGCTGCCGTGAAATAGTCACTATCCCAAGGGCTGAGGGAAGAGTCTCCAAGGGGAGGCCCATCCCT